ACTCTTCGTGACAACTATCATCTTGTTCCGTCTTGGACAGAGACATGACCGCAGTTGTTTCAAAATTAGAACAGCTCAGCAAAAACATAGCCATCCTCATGTTTAGCTGAAGTACGCAGCCACGCCTATCACTTCTCAGGGTATGGATGTTCGATGAGTCACATGTTCATTTTTTATGGACGCAGAGTGCGTTCTTCATTGAAACAGAAAAGCAACGAAAATAATTCGCCCATAAAATATCACGAAATCACGAGAAGAACATTTTCATCCATTGATTCGTGGACGCAGTAATCTGGTGTGCAGATGAAGCATAACCTGGCAAAATGCCAAATACTCACTGTGAAATACTAACAGCATGATTACAAAGTAAGCATAAGCAGAAATCAATTCAGATCAATCATATCCGGAGCTTTGCCCTTGGCGAATGTGGTGCTTCTGCTACGAAACAACGCAACAACAAGATAAAAATTCATTAGTGATTTAGTACATGTAAACCACAAAAGACATAACTTCGTCATAACGTAAGTTCCCTTGAGAGGGATACCTGTTTCGATAGCGGTCCGTTAGTCTTGAAGCAACTGAAGAAAAATATTTCGAACTAAATGACTTCAACCTTGGCAAATAGGTGGTTACGTTGCGTAAAGGTGTTGACTTTCCGCTTCTCTCGGTGGAAGCTCATAACTCACTAAAGAAGAACGAAGGGGAAATGGCTTGCACTCCTTCAAGGAGGAACGAAGCAGTACCACATACCACTTTTGATCAGGCATACGTTGATGAGCTTGCAAGAATACCTCGCTATTCCTCGACCTCAGGGCTTAGAAAGGTTTATATGTACTGCTGTTGGCTTTAGTGAGAAATTACTCATAGTTTGACTCGGAAAGGGGTTGACTGGAGAAAGTAAAGCAAAGGTCTCATATCTGTTATAGCTGCAATTGAAAGACGCATTCGGAGATTTTTTCGTTTTGGATTCCAAGTCAATTAAAATCGACATAAATTAGTTGAAGTCAGTAATCATACCATAGAAGAAGCTTCTGAAACTCTGGATTGAATGGTGGCCTTGCAACGAAACGATCCAGTCGTGATTACTGCAAACGATAGGGCGTATAACGTGGCGTGGACTGCAGCGTAGCGAGTGCGCGCTTGTTCCAAATGATGCCATCCTGAGCCCGGTACAGATGGAGATTTGGTCTGGCTTGCTCTAAACCGTGCTCCCGTCACAGGTCCTATGGTTTGCAGGCGTCATAACCTTCTACCCTGAGACAAAAGCGTAAATGCTTCTCAGAAATTTATTTTTGTAGAACAGGGATGCAGTGGTAAGATATTTCTTTGTTATAAGAGTTCGTTGTGGGATTTTATGTATATTCACATCTTTCAGAAATTCCTCAACTGGAACGAACATGAACAACTCGACATTATGGAGCGAATCCTCAGTAAAATGAGCCACAATCAACTGTTTGTAATGCAGAGATTTATCCAGCCCTATGTTGCAACGTGACTTCATCGCTTTATTACCTCGTAAGATCTGCTCATGCGTTTATTTTTTACTTTTTATTCCATTTAGTCCGCAATCGCAGTGTCGACACCGATTTTCTTCAATTCCTTTTGTTAATTGTGACATTGTGAGAAGCGGAACTATTCCTCTAATTAGGGGACTTTAGAGAAATACGAAACAGGTCATGCCTTGTTTCCGCATCGAAATTTACCTGTTGCTGGCATTTTTTCACATATTTTTTTTACTTTTATCATGAAAAGTGTGCTGGGGAGTACCGAGGTATTGGGCGGTATGGCCGCGTTCATGATAACAAGTTGAATAAATGACGAAACCGCGGATATAAGAGACTACGCGTATCGATTTGAAAAACTGCGGCAAGTTGAGAAAATTGTAGAATTTGCAGAACTGTCGGAATGACGAATAAAGACTTGATATGGATTGATTCCCTATTACCGCCACAGGGAGATGTGTCGATTCTGCGTAATTCCGGCATTTTTGCAGATTCTGCATTTCTGCGTTTCCGCAAATTCGTCTTTTCTTCAAAGTCGCCATGTATGATGCTGCCTATATGACAAGACAATCGTAATGTGCCGCGCTCGGGGGCGTGGCAAGTATGCCGCCCCCCCCTCCCCCACATACTAATTGTCCTGCCTGGTTTTGAGTGTAAAGATGAATAGGTGAAAAATTCGACATGGTACGTCATGAAACTTGCCGCTTGAACTAATTCATAATTCCAATCAATAAACTGGTGCACATTGAGTATTTGCCATGCATGGCCGCATCGTTCACTGCGGGTTACGACACCACAAAATACGATTGTCTTGTCCGTCTCTCGCCATTGGGTTGGCCCGTAGGCTTGCGCGTGACAGTGCTGAGCCAGTGCATTTCATACTAGCTGATTGAAAAGTGCACGCTCTGGAATGAAGTATGGCTGATTTTTATGCTGATTCAATGTTTCTTAATTTCTAAATTAGCCAAGGGCATCTTTTTGCGTTTTATCGAGGCTTGA